TCCATCAGAATTCTCAAGGGGCAAGGGTATGTCAAGTGTAACAACTTCCCCAGAACCATCAAGGTCATATTTGCTGAGGGCTGAACTATAACAGCGGACTATTTGAGAAGCGAATTCAAACGGTGTAGAAGTACACTTCCCTTAACTAAATTTCCTTCAAACTTGCCACCTAAGCCTCCTATTGTTGAATCATCCCAAGACCATATAAGTGCTTTCTCACAACCAGCTAATAGTGCAGGCAACAAGCATAGACATTGTACTTTCATCAGAACAACTGATATAGGCCCACTAGCCATTGTTGAATATAGCACCAATTTCATCCAAGTTGACATAGATGAGTGAGAGGGAGGACCAAAATGAATAGGACAAGTTGAACCAAGAAGACAAATGAACGTGGAAGAGGAATCATAGACACAATAATATCATAGTCACAAAGAAATAACCGATCTAAGGTTGCCTTTGGCAAAGCAGCCAAGCTTTCAAAGCGGAAGATATCCAATCTATATTTCTTTTTCCTCCTTGAAGTTCCTTTTCCAACGTCAGAAACTTCCATCCGTATCATTTTCTCGTCAGTCTGGACAGTCAGATCTAACTTGGAAACCTCACTCAAGGGCTTACCATCTTCTGATAGGGTAGCAGATCTGTTATCGCCAGTGGTTTCAGGTACATAGTCATTTGCAACAGAGTCTTCCTGTGATGTTTCTAAATTATTGGTACTTTTAATGTTTAGTTCAATTTCATTAGTAGCAGAACGATCTGATATATCAATCAATGTAGTGTCAGCAATCAGAGTAGAGTTATCATGACCTGAAGCTGACACTCTCGTTCTATCCGTCATTCCAACAGCTTCATTATCAGTGGCAACACCACCTGATAGTAGACATTCCAATACACAGCGGAGACTAAATGCATGGTTTGCAAATTCCTGCAACTCTCCCTCAAATTTTGCTCCCTCCAACGTGCTCAGGTCTTTGCAAAGATCTGCAATGATAGCATGGCCTGATTTCCATGCTTCATATAGAGTCACGGCATGAGATTTCAATCCTGCAAAAAACCCAGTCAGAGGAGTATAGGGGGAGAAGAGGGAACAGTCAGCACATTCAAACTAGAATTTCTTAAAACCATGATCAACACAATTCTAGAACTTGTCTAATCATAGTTGGTTCTTCCTCTAACGCCACCACCATGGAATAATAGTTGGTTCTTCTTATCCTAGCTTGGAGCACCTTCTCTACTCTATAGACAGATGTTGTGCCGTTTTTAAAACAAAAACCTTCCAATAAAAGTTCAAATTTATTTTGCCCAGTCGTAGTTTGCATTTATGGTTATGATGTTCAATAGAAAAACGACAAATGGGACTGGGGCATATAAACTAGACATTCAAAATAAGGGGAACCTCTCAAAAAAAGTGTAAAGAGAAATTAACTAACCCGGTGAAACAGAGCCCATCGTAAGATAAGATTTATATTAGTAGACATTAATTTTTCATCATATTTATTATTATTATTAAATTATTATTATTATATATTATTATTAAATAAAAATATAGGCCCAAACCTTAGGCCTATTTTACAATAAACCTAAACCCGTTTACATGCCAGACCCAAACTCTGGCCCAACAACCCGGATGCAGAGGAACCCTAGGGTTTCACATTCTCAGCCGCCGCCTTGTTTCTCTACCGTTGGATCTGGCAAGATCCAACGGCCCAGATGGTTCCAGCTTGAAACCTAGGGTATCATAACCCTAGAGCCACATCCCAGCCGCCGCCGTTGATTCCAGAAGGCCACACGTCTGCTGCCGATGCTTCAACTGCTAGGCGTCGCTCCAACCGTTGCTGTAATGCCACGCAGCCCCCATCGAAGCCTCCAGAAACGCCTCTTCATCGCCCCACGTCGAGCTCTATGGTGAGTCACCACCATAGCTATGGTGACTCACCGAGAAACCCTTCTGTGACCGGTCCGAGGAGCGTTTCGTCGAGGCTATAAAAGCCTCGACTCACCTGCAAAATAAGAAAAAAGGCAGAGAGGAAGAGAGGAGACAGAAACCAGAAAAAAAGAGACAAGCAACCACGACAGTAAACAAGCAACAACACACCCAACAGCAGCCAATAAAGAAGGAGAAGAGGAAAGGAGACTTACCAAGGAACTGCTATCATCGGAGCCTCCTACGTCTTTGAAACGAAAGGTCGAAGGGTAAAGAACCTTAGATCTACACGTTTTGGTAGTGATCTAAGCTAAAATATCCTCGGATTTTGCTTTAGGGAATTTTGAACTTCAATTTGAGGTAGATATGTAATTTTCCGACCACCATTGACGGTGGCCGGCGGCGGTAGTCGATGCCGGATACAGACCGGCCGCCTTCTGATTTCCCTCCGATGAGGGAAAATAAGAGAGAGTCGAGAGAGCTTCTAAGCTCTCTCAGTTAAGAGAGAAGAGAGAAAGGGAGAAATGAGAGAATGGCGTAGGGCCAGTCATAAAACGACGCGTTTTTTTTGGGAGGGGTATATCTGTAATTTCGCGCATGGCCAAACCATACGCGCAGTCATCCAAGTTTATAATCTTTTCAATTTAGTCACTAGAATTGTTTTTCTGGATATTTTAATTGTCTTCCAATATTATTTTATTATGTTTTAGTCCTTTCCTTATCAAGACAAATTGCTAATTTTATTAGAGATTAAGTCGGTGTTTTAAATTATTGAATATCTTATCTTTCTAAAATATTCAGATTAATAAATTAAATTTCCTTTGGTAGAATAATTTTTTTTATATGGAATCCTTAGGAAAAATTATTATATCTTTTTATTTCAGTTGGGAAGAGAAATATTCGTCCTAAAGTATTTTAGGGAGTATTTTCTCTTCAATTGGAAATAAGAGAATATTTTATTTTCCTTAGAATTTTGTTCTATAATATTGTATGGTTGAATTAGGAATAATGGAATCGCGATCTAAAATATATTCGAATTCTTAGATTTCTACTATTTAGAGACAATATATATCAATGGTACCAATTTTGGGCGTTGTGGGGGTGCTAATCCTTCCCCACACGTAATCGACCCCCGAACTTTTTTTTATTATTAAAAATGAATTTTGGTTATACGTGGATCGATGCATCTTTTAAAATGAGGTTTTTTTCTTAAAAAAAAAACTCTTTAAAAGAAGATTTTGGGTATTCGGCCTACCTAACCCAAAAGGTCGATGGCGACTCCGAAACATTCTTTTACAAAAATCGGGTTTTCACGAAATGAGTCGAGACTCGTCGTATCGCCGGAAATCGGTTACGACAGGGTGTTAATCTTTCCCTAAACGTAACCGACCACGAATCCCTTTTATTATTAAAAAGAACGAATTTTTGGTTATAAACGCAGATCAGTTCATCTTTTAAATGATGTTTTTCTTAAAAACTCTTTTAAAAGATAATTTTTAGGTATTCGACCTACCTGACCCAAAAGGCCGATGGTGACTCCCAAAACATTTTAAAAAAACCATTTATTCACATCACTTTTCCGCCTAGTAAAATTTTCGTGCCCGGACGAAAACCGGTTATGACAGCTAGCATCAACAACAAAAGCAACCCTCGAATCACCAGAACGAGTCCCATAGTTCTTCCCCCAAGATCTCCTTGTTGAGCAGCCTCACCATCAGTGGACACTTTTTAGGGATACTTTCAATCAATCAAAGGTAATTAATTCGAATTGAATTTTTAAATTTTAATTTAATTTTCGCGATTAAGACAACCGAGAAATTAAAATGGTACCGAAAGGGCAGTTAAAGGGTGCTAATCCTTTCTTGACTGTAACCGACTCCCGAGCCCGACATATTTCTGGTAAAACGCAGACCAGGTAAGATGGTGTCCGAAAACCTAAATATTCTTTTAAATGATCGGTGGCGACTCTAACCCATTTATTTCAAGTCAAAGCCCAATTCGAGGCCCAACCGAAAGACGATTCGACAATTAGGCTAGACAAAAGCGTATCTTTCTTCTTCTTCTTCTTCCTTCTTTCTCCGATAGAATTCCTTTCTTATCTCAAAAATACTTGCCAAGGTAAGGATTATGTAAGAATAGGGAACAAGCACTAGGACTGTTCCGTACAATGGGTGGTTATATGCAGTCACTCCAAAGGTAAGAACCTGTGATTCTATATCTCTCTCCTAACCAATCGGTTGTTGGTGCAATTATTTGGTACAAGGCCACAAAGGAAAGTTGAATAATTTAATAACCTGAAAGTTAAGTGGGAATTTACATTTCCATAAGGAACTGATCAAAAGGCAGAGTGATCTTAAGTTTTTCTGGCCCAAAACAATGTACACTTTTAAAGTAGCACCAGCTAACACTAACGATGATACCAGTACAAAAACCAAACATGAAGAGATTTTAATGTCAAATGGACTCAGCAAAGCAACCCTAGACCATAAAAGACGAGTAACAGCATTAAGTACATCTTCTTGATGTAAATTGTTTGTGATTGTTGAAGAACAGCTTACTTCAAGAGTTACTCACCTACTACATGCTTTGAAGAATATGAATTCACAAAGAAAATACTTGTGTATATTCCTAATGCACATGCATAAAAGATAAGTTTTGAGTAATAAATGGAAGGAGTCTATTTTTAGCCCTGGCAACTGAAAGAAATGAAAATTTTTATTAGTTTAATAAAGTGGTAAGGATCAATAAAAGTAGAGATCCTAGTTTGGAAGAAAATCTTAAAGCAAACCACTAACCTTTAAACCTGTCATCTAGGAACATCAAAATAGATCAACCACCGTCGATAAAGACCTTTTACAATATCAGGATCAAATAAGATGAATGCATTAGCTTCTTCTTTGCAGATTTTATCTATTGTTGCCATTTCTCTTCTGAAAGTTTCTATAAAAGAAACAAAGAATGTGAGGATGCGAAATATACCAACTAAAAGACTAGTATATGCATCTGAACAGGGTGTGATATCAAGCTATTCTAATGAAACTCTTTAGATAAGGGCCATCAGAAACCTTACCTTAAACTCTTCCAGAGTAAAGTTAACAAGACAAATTTCCCACCAAGGTTTAGTTTGAAAGTCCACAGGTTGGGTAGGTAACAACTCTTTTGCAATCGACTTGTTGAGCTTCACATGATTTTCTGGATAGCTCCAAATAAGTAAACAATAGGTAAGATGATAACAAAAGTACTACACTGGATATATAAGTATGTCTAACTTGTTTAATGTAGGAAAAATGTTACCGTAAAAAATTACTGCATAAACACAAGCAACTTATTTTGTCCATTAGAATGGTATCTCTCGAAACGACTGAAATAATGAAAGTTCATCAAACATATCTACAACCAATGGTACAAGGGGGAATTATTAGAGATTAGGCAGTATGCAAAACAAAGTTGATGTGTACTCGATCAGGAAGAAAGTCTATGCTTAAAATAATGTTATATTGCCTTAGTTTCTTGCAAGTAAAGAGTTAGGAACATATTTGTCAAAGTGAGATTTCAAATTATGTTCTGTAGGATAGTTGGTTTAAACATCACATTCATGAAACAATGCAGACCAAAATAAATACTATTTGCAAATCTGCCTACAAAAAGAATAATAAAAGAATGGTTCAAGTTACAACTGCCACAATATCATGGCTTGAGGATGAGTGCAAGCATTTGACATGGGTCACTCATGCAGGCATATGAGACAGGAGCGAGGACATGTGGAAGCAACTGCAATGGTGCTACCAGCACATATTTACACGTGCATGAATTCGGAAGCAAAAATGATCTATTACCTTAGACCTGCATTTGTTCATGATATCAATAAATTCATTTCTTCCAATTCCTGTAAGTTTCAAGGCATCGGCAGCACTGAAATTTGGGATACTGTCATAAGGTTGCTCTGTCAACAACAAGAAATGCCTGGAAATGGTCAGTCCCTATCTAAATATGAAGTCAATACCAATTCCTAAAGCAGTACCTATTTCTGAAAGGTCAATGCTGCACAAAATCTGGATAAATGCACACATATTTATCTACAAAGCAAATTTCAACCAATCCAATAAAAACTTAATAAGAACAAGTCAAATGTATTATAAATAGTAAATCTATACACTAGAAATCAAGATTGGGATGTGACCGATGGATTTCTATAGTATATAATTTCATTCCAAAAGAGAAAAGAAACCGATAGACAGATTGCATAAATCTACACTGCCAATTGCCATATATGAGTATTTCTTCTGAGATTATAAGGAATCTTTCAAGAGCCCTCAAAACAAGCAGTCAAATGAACAGCCACCGTCATTCTTAATTAGTGCTACTTTCTACCAATAAAATTCGGAGGCAAAGAGCAGAAAAGAGAAAACTACATTTGTAATGTATCTAAATCATCTTGAGCTGCTCAATTCTTCAAGCAATCATTTTATCAGGTGTAAAGTTTTTTTCTAGCAATTAAACCATGTCTAGATTTCAGTCGCTACTGTCTCATCAGCACATGGCTTTAAGTTTCAACAGCCTAAAATCTGTACCACACAGTTCATGCTATTGGTAAATTGGCAGCTACCTAGTAAATAAAGGTCCATTACACAACCATGGAGGATAGTTTTACTGTTGCATCTTGTCTCCTGACTCCTTAGCACCCTGGATGTCAGTTTTATTGCACATAATTCATACTTTTATGCTAACGAAAATAGACATGTTTCAGTTCTTACATATACCTAGAAATACTTAATCACAAACCAGCCCCTGCTAACCAATACTGATTTATTTATTTTATAACTAATTGCATAAAAGATATAGTAAACTATAACAATAGTATCTTGGGAATTATCACTTCAATAATGGGGTTCAGTAACTTAATGATAGATATGCTTAGTATGAATGAAAATCTTTGAAATACAAAGAGAAAAATCATATATCTAGGGAGATGCCGTATTTGAGACTTCTCATCAGATCCATCAGCTATCTTCAGCCAAAACATTTTTCCATCATCATCCATATATCACAAAAAAAGGAGGATGCAGGAGAAAACGAAATAGAAGAGAGCAATTACCATTTTTCATAACCTCAAATATCATATCACATTAATATCGGAAAGGAGAAACCCTCATTACATGGCAAACATACTACGCAAGACAGTAAGGGAATATCTACAATTAAGAAGTTCAAAAGTGAGCTGCAAAGAACCACTAGAAATGTATCAGGTGAAAAACTGAAGGGCTGAGTCATTCAACATCTTTTACAAACTGCAACTGACAGGAATAGATTTTATCATGTATTCAAGAGTCAAACTATGAATGACATTCTACATGACCAGAAATGTAGCTAGTAATATTGCTCTAATGCTCTTAAAGGAAGTTTCTTACTATAATAGTTCTGCTTCTACTTCAAAAGGGTAATTTTATTCAAGTTTGAAATCGAGAGTTGAAAATTTATTCATTTATCATCAAGGAACAAGATATAGATCATATGCGGAAAAAAGTATTTCTGAAAACTTATTAAAGAACAAACTGTACTAAATGAAATACAATGAAAAATAAACTTTATTTAACAAGAACCGCTAGATTCCTTCGCAAGGAATGCATCATCTCCTCATAGTATTCTCTTTCTTTGCATACTTTGCGAGCAAATGAAGTGTTCCATTGGAGTCTTTTCTTGATACAATGGACAACAATCCTAAATGGAGTTAAAATTCAGGGGGGAAGGGTAAGGTCAAGCAATGGAAAACAAATCCCAAGAGCTCATAAATAAATGTGCATTTAAATCTAATGACTAATCAGGATAAAATACGAAGGTGCTTCAGTTTCAACCTGGGACTAAAACTAAAAATTATTTTAGAATCAACCAAAACCATTATGTGCATGCTTGACAAAGAAAATGAAAAGTTCGTAATAGTAAGTGAAAACTGAAAACTGAGAAAACGACAATATATTAAATAGTCTGTGGAGCTACAATCATGTTAGCATCCCAAACCAATTTAATTTTATTTAAATATACCAGAAAGAATACAAATTACAAATGACGATTACAAAACGGTTCTTTACGAACACGGTAAAACCAAAAGCAATTAACCAAACCATAGATGCACAATGCAATGGCTATAAAAAGAACAGTGCCTATTCAAATTCAAACTAAAAAGCAACAGATCCTAAATTACTCTCTAAAACAAAACACTGTTCTTCAAAGCAAAAAAAAAATGAAAAAACTAAATGATCCTAAAAGTTGAAGGGGAAAAAAGGTAAAACGAAGAGTGAGCATCAGAATCCAAACTAACCTTCGGTGCCATTCTTCTTTAGATTTAAGATTGACCTGTAGCCGCTTAGGCAAATTCTCCCAGGGGCTTTCTTCCTTAATAGCTTTAAGATACAGCTGTTCCTCGAGCGTAGACAGAATGTGGGGGATTTTTATAGATCACTCCACTTCCTCTCTGTACGTAAATGAATCAATGTGATGGTAAACAATTAGCAAAAGAGAAAACACAGGATAAATGAGCATATAGGTGGATAGAACCTGAAAGGGAGAGAACAAGAGAGAGCTTTGATGACACGAAGGGAGATCTCAAAAGAATTGACAATTCAGAAATTCGAAATGCTGGGATTTACTTCAACTTGCGTTGATTTGGAATACGTAACGTAACCCACTGTAAATGTCAAAAACTGGCAAGTTGGGAATAAAAATGGTCAAATAAATAGTATAGTATCAGCAAAAGAAAAACAGATGAATATATACAGTGATCTATTTGGCAAGTCGGATTTATTTGATCTATAGTATAGTATCACGTGAGACAAAAATCCGAGCCTAAGACCAAAAGCACAAACCCTACGTTATGCAACGATACATAATATGTGAGATGAAATCTTCAAATACAATATATATATTTAGTTATCGACTGATGCGGGCGTTTCACACTCCCCAGCCTACACAGCCACCGTCACTTCTCGACCCACCTCGTGCTCTTACCTTAAACCCCTCGACCTCCACTTCGACACCTAACAACAATCAACTAATCCAATCCTTATTCAAACAAGGCAACCTTAAACAAGCATATGTTCATATCTTAAGACATAGGTTCGAAGCATATGTTCGTGTTATGACTACTTTGGTTGATATGTATGCGAGGTTTGGTTGTGTTGCGCACGCGAGTTTTGTTTAGAGAGAAGATGCCTTTTAGGAATGTGGTTTCTTGGAGTGCAATGATTGCTTGTTATGCTAAAAATGAAAAGCCTTTTGAGGCATTGGAGCTTTTTAGGGGAATGATGATCAAGACTCATGATTTGGTTCCGAATTCAGTTATTATGGTTAGTGTTCTTCAAGCTTGTGCAGCTGTCTGCTTTGGAGCAAGGAAAGTTTATCCATGCCTTAGGAGAGGGCTTGATTCGGTTTTGCCAGTTATAAGTGCACTTATTACAATGTATTCCCGATGCGGTGAGCTTGAATTGGGGCAACAGATTTTCGACTGGATGGAGAAAAGGGATGTTGTGTAATGGAATTTTTTGATTTCAAGTTATGGTATTCTTGGATATGGGAAGAAAACTATGCAAATTTTTCAAGAGATGATTGATCTAGGTGTTTCCCCAAGTCCTATAACTTTTGTCAGTGTTTTAGGAGCATGCAGCCATGCAGGTCTTGTTGAAGGGGGGAAAAGGTTATTCGATTCGATTAAAGTACACGGAATGATTCCTAGTGTTGAGCACTATGCTTGTATGGTCGGTCTTCTTGGTCGTTCCAATAGGTTAGAAGAGGCGGCTAGGATTATAGATGAAATGCGGATGGAACCTGGAGCTAAGGTTTGGGGTTCACTTCTTGGCTCGTGTAGGATTCACTGTAAGTCTGTAACGTAGAGCTAGCAGAAAAGGCTAGCAAGAGGCTATTTCAACTTGAACCCCTAGTGCAGGGAATTATGTACTTCTTGCTGATATTTATGCGGAAGCCCAGATGTGGGATGACATAAAGCAAGGAAGCTGCTTGAAACTCTCTCGCAGCGAAAAGTAGCAGGCAGAAGTTGGATTGAAGTGAAAAACAAAATGTATTCATCTGTTTCTGTCGATAAGTTCAATCCTCAGATTGAACAGATCCGATCTTTGTTGATTAAACTGTCTGCAGAAATGAAAGTGAAGGTCTTTATGATCTCGATGAAGGCAAGAAGGAACAGATTCTATTGGGTCACGGTGAAAAACTAGCTGTTGCATTTGGACTCATCGATACAAATAAAGGGGAAACCATTAAGATAACAAAGAATTTGAGTGTGAAGACTGTCATTCGTTCACAAAGCTCAATTCCAAGTTTACAAATAAAGAGATTCTGGTTCGTGACGTGAATCGATTTCATCATTTCCAGAATGGAGTTTGTTCATGTGGGGATTATTGGTAGTTATATCTTTCCCTTTTATTTATTTTTAAGTTATGGAAAATAAGTCATCAAACAACAGAGAGATCATATAGATATGTACAGCAGACTTACCCCAATTGGTTTGTCATCGTTGTGTATATTTTTAACCCATAAACTAATACCATGGAATCAGAAAAATAAAGTTCGAATTTCAATTAGGAGTATTCAATCAGTCGGTTTCGTTATTGCTTTACTCATTTTCATCAACAACAGACTATCCAAAGTTATAAGTGAAGTTTACTAATGGAACAGAACTAATTTTATTAACATATCTAATAAAAACAAACCAAAATTTAAATCTAACTGTAATAACCATCAAATTATCCGAAATAATCATAATCGATATTTTCTTTAAATCTCTTTCAAACTGAATTAAATTTCAATCGATTAATTTGATTAAAAATGACAAATTAACCCCTGATTTCAATCCAGTTATTTTGGTCCTTTCATTTATAAATCATGGCCAGGGTCATAAAAATGGTACCTAAACTATCAAACGGGTAATTTTGATAATTAATTTTGGTCGATTCGATTCCATAGCCCTTGAGTTCCAACGCTCCTCTACATTAATAGTCTCATAAAAATAACGAATGGCTCATTTCAAACGAAAAAGAAAGCCTGCAGAAATTTAATCCTCTGTCCAAGAAACAAATTACACCACACAAAACTGCGCCACTGTATTCCCCTAGACAGTAATGTGGCCGTCTTGCTTCATTTTGATGAGACTGCTTTCAATGTTGCGGAGAACTGGTTTATAGCTGTCGCGTTTTGAATGAAGTTAGCATCTAAGAATCTCGTCGGAGATAAATTCATAAGTCATTTGAAAGAGAGAAAATATCTTACAGGCGTGCAAGACTGTTATATGCTTGTGTCGCTTGCTGGAGACGTGCTGAAAGCTGCATTACTTCGGCTGATAGTGAATCTGCTCTGCTCTGCTCTTGCACAAGTTGTCCCTGGAAAGGAAATATTGCACAATTGAGGGTATATTATTATTTGAAGGCCAAAGGTCTATCGGAAGGGAAAATAGTAACTCATGAATTTTCCATTCTAACCTACTAACCTTGAGGGAGAGAATTTCAGTTGTATTGGCCTGTAAATCAGTTTCAGTAGCCCCGCCTTTATGGACCCCTAATGAACCATTTGTAGACAGCAAACTAGCCTGCTCTGCTCTCAAGTTATCTAGAACTCTACGAAGCTCTTCATTTTGCCTGAGACAGTCTTTAACCTGCAAACACTCGATGTTTATCAATCAAATAACGCATACAGTGGCAATACTGATTGAAAACTAAAATAATAAAGTTTATGTTGTTTAAAGAAAAGTTTCTGGAAACAGTTTGCATAGATCCTGCAGATTCTATGACTGATTTTTACCTGATTCTCCCACTGCTTTGCTATGGCCATAGCCTCTTGATAAGAGGACGAGAGATTAAAATTTTCCTCAAAGAGCCTTTCAATCTCCGTAGATTGGTTATCAATCTGTCGATGCAAAATGAAATTTTTCCTTAACATGGAGAACTGTAGTTTACATTTCCAACACACACCGGACAACTAGGACTCAAGAAAAGGCTGTACCTCCTCTAGAAGTTTTTGTCTACTATTTTCAAGCCTCTCCACTGCTACAGCCATATCATGTAGCTGTCTCTCGAGTTTTTCTCTGTCTTCCTGCGCAATAGAAAAAAGAGTAACCTTAATGAAGCATAAGCCTCTTTGGAAATGAATCTAGTATCAACATATTAAATTATGAAAACAACCATGTTTTATTCAGAAGCTGATCAGCAGTAGAAAAATAAGATGAAATAAGAAGGTAGGCGCTTGAAGGCAAAAATTTTCCAATCATGGAAACAACAAAAGGAGATGAATTCTCCGTTTGGGGGGAAAAGGGAGGGGGGTACATAATCAGCATGCATCTGCATATAAGCTAATTAACAAAAGTGCTACAATTTATCACGAGAATCAACGCCCTAAAACATTTCCTGAATATGTTAATAACTTAAAGGAACCCACTTACCGCTGACAATTCCTTGTGTGCTACTTTCTCTGAGACTACTTCTGATTTCTCTGATACCAAGAAGTCAACAGTAATAAGAGAATAGATTTACTTGCAAAAGTGTAATGAAACAGGGTTACTTGTGTTTTTTAGGAAATTAATATTCATGCATCATAGAAAATATAGGTAAAACATGATGAAAGAAAGGGAAGGGTATATTTAAATTCTATAAAGTTAGATGCATAAACATGTATAGATGTATACATGCAATATATTTAAAAAAAAACCGTTGACATTAATTGTTGTCCATGAAAACCTTTTGAGTAAATAGTAATTACCTGAACCCCTTTTGGACATAGCAGAAATTCTTTCTTCCAGTTCCTGCTTTCCTGAAGTCAGGGCAGAAACCCGAGCTTGCTCCTCTGCTAATTGCTGTCGCTCTTGCTGCCTCAACAATGACTCTTTCTGTAATTCAGAAACCACCATGAGAGATCTACAGAGAAATACTTCAAAAGGGACAATGAAACACAAACTAAGCTCATTACAACCTGTAATTCAGACTTCAATCTAGCCAACTCATTTTCTAATGCTTGTACTTGATCTGGTGAAGTCCCCATGGCATTTATTCCACTAAATGAATTGTTCATCAATTGTTGCTGCATCGAGTTGAGTTCAGCCCTCAAGGCAGCTGCATCTTCCTCAGCCTAAAGCAAAACAAGCAGATTAGATGAAAACCAAGTCGCTTTCGTGTATCAAGAGTATAAACTGCTTACTTACTCTGTACTGCTCATCTTCTGCCTCTTTCAGGCGTTTCTTGAGCATGCGAAGTTGGGCCGAGAGGTCCTCCTATACTAAGATAACGGACTGTGTAAGCATAAAAAGCACAAGTAAGAGATTTTATATAACAAAAAGTGCAGGAAAGGCACATACCCGAGCAACAACAGCAGCATCTTTCTCCATAGCAACATCTTTCAGAGCCTTTCTTAGAGATGGTACAGTGTTTTGTTCCTATAAATATTATAGTTTGAATGGAAATAAGTAGGCCTGAGAGAAAACATCACCTTCCAAATTTTTAACCCATATCATAGTCCTGAAGTTGAGTTAGAGTAGAAAGAACACAAACCAACCACTGGTGAAGAAACATGTAAACAAGGAATGCCGTCTAAAAGGCTTCTCCTCTAATACCTATGAAAGATGTAATTTGCAAAATGTACAACTAGTAACCCCTATATTGAAGTGCCTCAACTCACCAGCTCATTAAACCGTGTTTGCAGTGTTTCATGCTTGACTTCTTTAGCTTGAAGCTGAACCAAGAAAATAACAACAAATTCACATAATTGCAGGCTCCCTATAGCTTAATTTAGCTCTAGTCCCAACATAAGATCTAAAATAAAGCAATGTGCTTATATTACCTTCACAGATAATATCTTGTTATTTTCTTCTAACTCAGCATTTTTCTTCTGCAAGTCCTTCAACTGAGATACTAAACCACTAACATCTGCCTGCAGTAGCAATTAAACAGCATGAGAATCAGAATATTCAATATAATAATATCATGCAAAAAGCCCCTTATTTCAATACAACAAATCAAACCAGAATTTTTAACATCTCTATGCATGAGAATCTAAACCTAAGCTTCTATGACATTCAGAATTACTAAATTACACCACATGAAAAATAAAAAAATAAAACATCAAATTATTTTTTACTTCAATATTTAAGCGACCAAACAGACAATCAAGCGTAAAATAAAAACTGAAGAAAAGTTATGTAGTTGTTTCCAGCCAACAAGTCAACAGATTCAACATTTAAAAAAATCCAAAAAAATCGACAGAACATACCTCAGAGAGTCTATTTTCGCTTCCTGATTTCTTCATGACTGGAATATCTGCAAGCACAAAAAATCAAAACAATTTTGAACAAATTAGAATATTATTTTTTTTAAAAAAAGTTACGAAAAAAGGGAATAAAAACGAGAAAGGAGAGACCGGCTGGAATTGGAGCTTGAATGAGATCAGATACAGATGAAGCTTTGCTGATTCTTTCGGCGGCTCTCTTTTGACGAATCTCCTCCAGCTATTCAAAATCATCCCGAAATCAATACTCAAAAAATTAAAATTAAATAAATACAATCATACCTAGGAATTATATTAAAACGAATTCGATTAAAAAGAAAACAAACAACAACAAAAACTTGATACGAATTCTTCTCACCGTCCGTCGACCGAGTGAAGCATGATGAGAGTTCATCGTTAAAAGTAAAAAAGGAAAAAAAAGAGGAAGAGAATCACAATAAAGTTTTCTTCTTCCTTTTTATTTATTTTCCTTTGAATGCAGGGAATTATTTATATGAACCGAATTTTTAAGGGTTCTTCAAAATATATGTAATATATGAATAAATTAAAAGATACTAGTTTGGGACTCTGGGCGCCGATCTACGCCGGAGTCCTAATTTCTCCTCCACGAAAGCCTCCAAGCAATGGTAAAAAAATCCATAAATAAATACTTTTAAATTTGAACACTACGTAATTGGATCCTTATATTAAATTTTTAAAACATAAATATTTATATGAGAAAAGTATATAAATGAGCCTAAATTATATCACATTGTTTTATTGTGTATTTTAGTTATTAAAAATTATAAAATGATTATTCGATTATAAATAACTGTTTTTATTGAATTTTCGAGCATTACAATAACAAAATGATTGTTCGACTTCTTTTTTGGGTAAAAAAGTTATGATTGTTTAGGGTGGACGTTAACCTATTGATGAGGTTACGATAGAATCTAATCCTATAACTGTTTAAGTTGTATTTTATGGATTGACTCTCTATTTATATTATGTCATCGAGTCAGTGCTCGAAACATTATGTTAATGTGCTAGTGCTTGAAAACAATGATAATGTTCGTAAACATCATTAATATATGATTTCATAATATTTAGTCAGAAGATTAACGTCTAACTCATAAATCCGTGATACTATTATGCTCTATAGCATTATGGGTTCAATTCCTGAATTTTAACCTTTTTCACAGCAGACACCGAGTGTTCGTCCTCTTGATCATCGTTACTCACAGCTGACACGGAACTACATATCTTTGGCATTGGTGGGACGAACACTCTCTCCACTTGAATAAGAGCAAGCATTGGTGCACCGACTGACTCATAATTTCTCATCGGATCGTGAAGTTGTACCATCAACGCCATCGTGAAGTTATTCCCTAACAAACCACACTTTTTACCCCATTTTGTTCTCTCTCTTTGCCCCAGATCTGTGAATTGAGTCCAATGGTGTAGCATGATGAGCAACAAGGATTTTAGAAGTTCATTCTCTTATTTGATATTCATCATCAATATCTATAACACCCCAATTTAGGGGCTAAATTTTAAGAATTATAAAGTGGTAGATTTAATTTGTATTTTGGGAGGAAAATTGAGGATTAAATTGTAAAATTTCAAAGTTGGTAGACTATTTTATAAAGTGCAGGAAATTCAGTGGCTAAACTATTAATTTAGCCAATTTTCTATAGGAGAGAATTATAAACTCTCCCCCGTCAGTTTCCAGAGTCATTTTTCCAGTTTCCCTTCCCGGTTAACCATCCTTTCAACTCCGATCTACTCGCTGTCCGATCGACGAACCGAAACCACCATCGTGTTCGTTGTCGACCGATGAACAAAACCTCTCAAACCTCTCATTATGAATCGGCGCCGTTTGTCGTTAATTTCAATTGGAAGTATCGTTGGTTTTAACTCGATTTCCATTGGTTTTTCGTCGATTCACGACGATCCGGTCATCCGTTTTTGACACCTCCCGCACCATCGTGTTCCTTGTGCCGTTCTCAGTCTACCGGTGTCTTCCGTTTCTCCATCGTCGCCGGCGCGTGGAGGGGTGAGACCGTTAAAGTTTTCGACGTTTTGAAATTGAGCTCTCCGCCGTTCAAAATTGTGAACCGAGCTTGGTAAGTGTCTCAAAACGCCTTAAAATAATTTTTAGGAATTTTTCCGAGAATTTTCCGACACCGTATCACTGTTCACGTGCTCAACACTCCACCCCCGAGAGTGGGCATTGTCTGGGTGTTAATTTTGTAATTAATTTATGTTTAGGTGCTATTTATGTAAAATCAGGGTGTTATTTTCGTAAATATTTACAGAAGGTGGATAATTTTATAATTAATTTCTGTTAGGGTGATATATGTGTAAAATAGTCGATTGTTGACCGTTGACCACAGTTAACCACAGTTGACCAGAACTTTGACCTGCGTTGACCGTGCATTAAACGACCTTTGACTTTGACAGAGTATACATATCCTGATGTTCTTCGACGTTCTTAGTCCGCTTCCGCAGTTCGTTTTTCGAAATTCGGACCCGACGGCCTCGAAATTGCCAGTTAAACCCACTAACTTTGACTTTGATCGAAAAGTCAAAATTTTCGAAAAGTCATATATTATGTTTTTGACGTCCCGAATCCATTTTTAGGATCTTTTTTGCCAAACTCGAACCCGGTAAGTTGTTTTTTTACTGAATTATCACATGATTCGACCCTTTTTTAGAATTAAGCTCTATTTTTTATGTAAATTCTGTTGATATGCATCTGAGGAATTATTGGAAGATGATTTCAAGATTAGGGCGTTCGAATGGAATTTTTATGGTCGATCAGTATGGCACGAAAATCAAGGTAATATTTTACTACCTCTTTATGCTTTATAGAACATGTGAATATTGGTAAATGCATGAATAAGATAATGTTGGTCTCATTTGTGTAGTTAATGAATTTCTACACTCAATCCGAATACAATAGAAATTTGGCAACTGATTATGGTTCAGATGAATTTTATAAGAAATTGAGGAATTATTATAATTAAATTACAAGTTATGTGTTTAGTAATAAAGAAGTTAACCTGGACCTGTAACTTATAAAGTATTTCATCAAAGGTTAAATGTTAAAGGTACTTGGATGAGAATACTCTAATAGGGTAAAATTATGAAAATATCCTTATGTTGTAAAAAGACAATATTTGACAATGGAAGTTGGATAAATGGATTTTAAAAACATATTGATCTGATGAAACTACTGATGTGTATGGAAATGCTAGTTTTGCTTAGAAAATATAGATAATCGGTTTTTAACCCAAGAGGATTTGAGCAAGAATCTAGGGTGACGTTTGGTTCGCTGGAATGTTTATGAGGGAATTATAATCTATGAAGGAATTGGAATCTGTCAGGAATTGGAATCCAATTCCATATTCTGTTTGGTTCGCAGACATGTCAGATGAATTTGATTTCAGTAATTTAAAATGACAAAATTGCCCTTATTATTTTTTTGTTTTATTTTAGTTTGTTTTATAACTTAACATGAAGTAATATATTATAAACAATTAAAAAATATTAAATTTTCATTTTATTGATTGATTATTCATTTCAATAAATTATAAAAATCATGCTAATAAACATCATAAGTTAAAATCATCGCAATCAAAATATGTTAATAAGTTATCAAAAGATAGTGCAATATTTCGATACATTCCAATCGGAGTATGTTAATTAGTTACCAAAAAATATACCAAAAACTATTTTTATTCAATATATGAATTAGAAACCCGACCCGACACAAAATAATAAAAAAAGTATTTTTATTCAATAAAAACATTGACTTAATTGAAAAAAAAAATTATATATAGAGGGGTATTATTGTAATTATTCATAAATATATAAGGTAAAATTATATTTTTTTGGGTCGGTCCGAATACCACACTTAAAAAATCCCGACCCGACCCGAATACCACACTTAAAAAACCCCGACCCGACCCGAATATCACACTTAAAAAACCCGACCCGAACAAAATAAAGTTTCACCCGACCCAACCCGAATATATGAATTAGAAATCCGACCCGACCCGAAATAATAAAAAAAATTATTTTTATTCAATAAAAACTGTGACTTAATTGAAAAAATATATATAGAGAGATGTATTATTGTAATTATTCCTAAATATATAAGGTAAAATTATATATATTTTCGGGTCGGATATTTTTCACCCTAAACCCGAACTCGACCCGACCCGAATATTACACTTAAAAAAACCGACCCGACCCAACCAAAATAAAGTTTCACCCGACCCGACCCGAATATATGAATTAAAAACCCGACCCGAAATAATAATAAAATATTTTTATTCAATATATGAATAAGTTACCAAAAGATTGATGAGGGTAGTATGGTCAAATTTCAATTCCCTCCAACAAGGGAATTGAATTCCATCCATTCTTGGATGGAATTCACTTTTCCTCATTTGATGGAAAGTTGAAGCCATGAGGGATTCCAATTCCCTTGAAAAACTTGAACCAAACATGGGAAAGTGGTGGAATTGGATTCCAATTCGCCCCAATTCCAAGGGATTTCTTCCAACCAAACGCCACCTAGGAGTCTGTTAAGAGAATCTGTTGAAAACATTTTGATGTTTCGATATAAAAAATTAAGTTAAATGAATTTTAAGATTTTACAAATGATTTTCTAAAAGTATATTCGATTTAATTACTCGAATATCAAGCTATTACTCTAAGTCTTTCAAGATCAATTTTAAACCTTACTAAATGTGTAAATTTGTGTTTTATACTTAAACTATTTTTAAACAAATTTTCACAAAGTATTTTGAACCAAAATCAAGCCTAAAATCAATTTTTCAAGGGCATGCACTGATGCACCAATCCATGTATCGATGCATCAATTAATTTCTTGAACATCGAATGCATTTTATGCATCGATGCACATACCATGCATCGATGCACTCAGGCTTTTTCAAAACATCGAATGCATTTTATGCATCGATGCACTAAGGGTCCAACGGTCAAAATATTTGAATTTTACACTGATGCACCGATGCACCATGGGTATGCATCGATGCACTGACGCTTCCAACTGATTTTTATTAATTGTTTTCACACTTAAACGACTATATTGACTCCACTAAGCATCCCCAACGTTCAGAATCATTTGAAGGTGTATTTAAACAAGCTTAGAAGCCATTGATCAACAACAAGAAACATCAAGCAATTACAATCAAGAGAGAATCAAAGAGAAAGCATCAAACCTCAAGTTTGAGCATTCCAAGCCTATTTTTCATTCAATATTCATTTTTCTTTCAAGAATACTTATTGTGATCAATTATATTTATTCTTGAGTGTTCTTTCTTTGTTCTAGAATTGTGCAAATATATTTGCCTTGTGAGGTTTTTTCTTGTAAGTTTGCAAATTTGTAATCTTCTCTTTGAGAAAAGAGTGTTCTCAAGAATTGGGGTATATTCTTGAAGGAGTTGTAAGGTTATCTCTTTGGCCTCAAA